ATTACTTGCCTCTCACTATTTTCGAGCTTAACTGTAAGATCTCGTCTATCCGAGGCTGCTTATAAGACTCCGATAGTTCAAGAATTATTCACATGATGTTTATTCCCCGCATCGCTAGATTTTGATTCCTGGCTTTGCGAGATGATTATCCCTTACCTTTCATTATGTCGAGCCCCGCTATAAGACCTCGTCTATCCGAGACTTGCTTATAAGTATCTCATAGTTTGAGATGAGCCACCAACTTCATATTTATTCATTACTTCGTGAGATGCCTCACCGGGTGAGTTATTGTATTATAGCCTAATTTATTTTCAGAAAGCTCATCATGCCTCTACATTACAGCTATTTATATCTTAGAATTTTGCTTCTACTTCAGATATGGCACATCTACTTATTTTCAGAGAGTTTACATTATCCCTTGCATGGATGCACCATCCACCATGTAGGAAGCCCTTGACATGGATCAACCATCTACCATGCAAGGATGTCAATTACCGTTTCGTAAGGAGAGGAGTGGGCCCATCTTATTACCTATGAAGATGAAGCCTTCCATGGTTGGATCAAACACCATTGATGAAGCTCTTGCATATAAGAGTAAACCCCCTGCATGGAGGTAAAAATAACAAAGCCTCTGCTACTTATGTTCAGGTATCGCCTCTGCTACTTATATTCAGAATGTTGCCTCTACATCAGCTTATATATTCAGTCTCATTTCGACATCAGTTTCATCACAGTGGCTTATATTTTAAGTTTGACCTGCATATGAATATTCGACTTGAGTGACTAGTATGATTACTATTAGCATATGTATTTTATTATTGTTGGCAAGTACGCATGTCACATAATTGCTAGCATGCCTCATGACCCATGACACTATTTTTACTAGCGTTAGTAAGCATGTCACATTATCTACACAATCTTCAAGCATATTACCTACTATGATACATGATAGTTTTTTTTTTTTTGCATATTATATCTTGAAGAAATGTGATATGTCATTATTCACTTTATAGTTATGAGTATTTGGAGAGGTAAATGGACCCCAAATTTATTTTGTATATGTGCAGTGAATATATTGTATTGTATTATAGGTTGGTTTAGTTCATATCATAGAAGAGACGCTGTCAAAATTTTAAAAAATTATATGCGACATCTTTCGAGGCAATTTGCAAGCCCTAAATTATCCAGGCTGTCACATATATTTTCTGAGGCTGTTCGTAAGTCCTTACTTACTGGAGCTACTCATATTTTCGAGGCAATTCATAAGCCCTTGCCTAAGTGACAACTTGTATTTTGAAGTCCGACCTGCACATGAATGTATAACTCAGACTTGGGGAACTATTGTTATACTTATAAAATATTTCATATTGAGCCTTTCTATTGGACTTAGCGGCTTGGACTCGTCCCATTAGCCCCGAGGCCCATCTCCATTTTCTATACATATGTGGCTCCATTTTCTATACCATAATAATTTATGGTATGTTTTCACAACCCTAGCCAATTCTCCCCTCCTTATTTTTGCACTCTTCTTATATTTTGTCTGACCGTTGACTTGACTATTGGAGTGCAAATGGTCACGGGACCTTTTTCTCGATCAATTGCCTTTGCCTCCTAATGGAGTGTTTCGTATACAAGTGTGGAGAGGATGAGGCCGGGGATCTGTTGACGACATTTTTTGGGTTCAACACATATTACATTATTGTAAGCTCAATAAAATGTTAAATTATTAAGGATGAGTTTAAGTAAATTGAACCCAATAAGAAAACATGTCTAAGTTACTAATGCAAGTCTTAGAGCACTACCTAAAATGTGTTAAAACCATTTAAACGTATGAGTTCCAAAATATGGTCCTTAAATACTAATGCAAATTTTAAAGCGATGATTAATCAAAATAAGTGAAAAAGGACGGAAAAATGGGATGCTTCCCATTAAGCGCTCGATTTATAGTCTAGAGCTCGACTTATTATTCATTTACTCTGGTGTTTCAAGATGAACGGTTGAATTTTCTTTCAAAAATTCACCACTCCAATATAGCTTCAATCATTTTCCGTTAACCTTAAGGGTTCATTTACTTTCATGAGTGATTTCAAATGTCCTATAAGGAAACACTTTGATATTAGTCAATGGCTCTGTGCACCTAGACTTCAGTTTACTAGGAAAAAGCTGGAGTTTAAAATTGTATTGCAAGACTTGTTGCCTAATCTCAAACTTTCTTCTTTGAATGTGCATCTCATGCCACTTTTTGGTTCGCCTCTTGTAGAGCTTTGCGTTCTCATAAGCTTCCAGTTGAAACTCATGAATTTCATTCAACTAAAGTAATCTCTTTTCACCAGTTGCCTTCAAATTAAAGTTTAAGTTTTTGACTGTCCAATAAGTTCGGTACTCCAATTCAACTAGTAAATGGCACACTTTCCCAAAACCAAAACGATAAGGAGACATGTCTATAAGTGTATTGAAAGCCGTTCTGTAAGCCTACAAAGTATCGTCAAGTTTCTTAGGTCAATCCTTTTTTGAAGAACTCTCTATTACCTCTAATATTCACTTTAATTCTCGATTGGAAATTTCAACTTGCCCACTGGTCAGAGAGTGATAAAGGATAGCTATATGGTGCTAGACGCAATATTTAGCTAGCCAACAAAGACTCAAATTGATGATTGCAAAAGTGTTTACCCCCATCACTTACAATAGCTCGAGGTGTGCCAAAATGGGTGAAAAAAATACTTCTTTAGGAAACGAATCACCACCTTCGCATTGTTAGTTGGCAATACTACTGCTTTAACCCATTTGAAGACATAATCAACTGCAACAAGTATATAATGATTCGAGAACAATAATGAAAATGTCTCATAAAGTAAATTCCCCACACATCAAAAAGCTTTACCTCAAGAATATTATTTAGAGGCATCTCGTTCTTTCCTACTACATTTTCTGTACGCTGATATATGTCACACATCTTCACAAGCTCAAAAGCATCTCGAAATATTGAAGGCCTTAGAAACCATACTGTAGAATTTTAGCAACCGTCTTTAATGCACCAAAGCATCCAGCATACGAGAATGAATGACAATGCTCATGTATTTGAGGGACCTCTTCTTTGAGAATACACCGCCTTATTATTTGATTTGACCCTGACTATAGAGAATAGGATCTTCCCAAAAAAAGTACTTCAAATCAAAAAATATTTTTTTTTCTTTTGATGACTGTCTGATGGTATGATAGATTTGGCCAAATAATTCACTATATTTACATTCTATGGTGCATAATCCACATTGAAAATCTGTTCATCTAGAAAGATCTCATTTATGTATATTGATTTTTTCCTGTTCTCCATGCTCAAATGGGGATAAATGGTCAGTTACTATGCTTTCACTTCCCTTCTTGTCTTTTATCTCCAAATCAAATTCTTGCAGGAATAGTACCCATTTGATTAGTCTTGGTTTTGCATCATTCTTTGTCATCGGATACTTAAAAATTGCATGGTCTATATAGACTATTAGTTTTGATCCAACAAGATAAGATCAAAATTTATCAAAAGCGTAGACTACAGCTAGAAGTTCCTTCTCAGTGGTGGTGTAGTTCAGATTTGCATCATTCAATGTATTGCTTGCATAATAGATCACATGAAAAAATTTATCTCATCGCAATGTTCCCACTATGCAGTCACTTGTGTCACACATTAGTTCAAAGGGTAAACTCTAACCTGGTGCAATTATTACTGGTACTGAAATCAACTTCTTTTTTAGAGTGTAGAAAGCCAAAAGACATTTTTCAGGGAAGTCGAAAGGAACATCTTTAACTAGCAGATTGCACAATAGTTTAGTGATCTTAGAGAAGTCCTTGATAAAGCGACAATAAAACCCGACGTGACCAAAGAAACCGCGAACACCCTTGATTGAGGTTGGTGGTAGTAATTTCTCAATAACTTGTATGTTTGCCTTATCCACTTTAATCTTTTAAGTTGAAATTTGATGCCGTAACACGATGTCCTCTTGTACAATGAAGTGACACTTTTTCCAGTCTAGTACCAAATTTGTCTCCTGACACCACTGTAAGACCAATTTTAAGTGCTCAAGACACTTATCAAACAAATTTCTTCGCTATATCAGAGAAGACGATCATCATGCAACTCTGAAATGTAGTGAGGACATTACATAGACCAAATGACATCCTACGATAAGGCAAGGTACCGTAGGGACAAGTAAATATAGTCTTCTTTTAATTTTTGAGCATGATCAAAATCAAATTATGATCGAAATATCCATCAAGAAAGAAATAATGGGAGTGACCTGCTAACCTCTCCAACATCTGATCAATAAATGGAAGGAGGACGTGATCCTTTCGAGTAGCAGTGTTGAATTATTGATAATCATTGCAAACTCTCTATCCCATAACAGTTCTAGTGGGGATTAGTTCATTCTTCTCATTTTGTACTACCGTGATACCCCTTTTTCGGCACAAACCTGAACAAGATAATCCATGTACTGTTTGAGATAGGATAGATGATCCTTGTATCTAAAAGCTTCAAAACTTTTGCTCTGATTACCTCGCTTATATTTGGATTGAGTCTCCTCTGGCTATCTATACTAGGTTGGTAATTATCCTCCATGAAAATTTTATGCATGCAGATTATAGGGTTGATTCCTCTGATGTCAGCAATAGACCATACAATAACTATTTTATTTTCTCTTAGTATCCTTAGCAATCTCTCTTCTTCAAGCTTACTGGTGGAATTTGAAATAATGACAAGCAATGTGGACGATTCTCCCAGATAGGCATAATGAAGGGAAGGTGGCAACTGCTTGAGCTCTAACTCAAGGAGTTTCTGAATTGATGGCAAAGGCTTTGTAGAACCCGTGCCTAACTTTTTAAAATGTGGTCTACGCCTACACAGAGGGTTAGTTTCAAGATTTCTTGATATATACCTCAATCTCATTAGAATCAGAATGAGTAAATTGAGAGTATACAATGCACGCCTTATATGGATCAGATGGATTATGGAACTAGAAGGTGTCATAAACTGCCTTGTCAATCACATCGATTTGGAAACAATTGTTTGACTCAGCTGGATATTTTATGGCCTTGAACACATTAAATGCAACAGGCTCTTCACCAAGCCTCAAAATCAGTTGACTGTTGGCACATCAATAAGGGCTTTACCAGTAGCTAAAAAATGGTCGACGCAAAATAAGTGCAATGTCCCTATCATTCTCCATGTCAAGAATGAGAAAGTCAGTTGGGAAGATGAATTTGTCCACTTTTACCAAGATATCTTCAATGACTCTTCTTGGGTATACGATAGACTGATCAACTAGCTATAAAGTGACTGTAGTTGCTTTAGCCTCCCCCAAGCCCAATTTCTTGAAAATAGATAATTGCAATTTTTGTCGATGGAAAGAGTTTGGTGTAGAACTTTTTAGCTAAGTCATTCCAGGTAGTGATATTGGTAATAGGCTGCAAGTCTAACCATTCAAGCACTCTATCCCATAGGGTATGTGGCAGTAATCGCAATCTAGTAACATCATCTGAAACTCTTTGATATTTAATGTATTGACACATCTACAAAAATTGGGAGACGTGTGTGTGGATTTTCATTGGTCCCACCATAAAATTGATGTTCATTCTGGAGGAAATGAATGACATTGGTCTTCAGTTGAAAGTTCAATTGTCAGAAAGGAAGATAAACAATGCTAAATTGGCTCTGAATAATTTGTGGAGTCATGAAGTCCCCAACTAGTATGATCCCTTCATCGACCACTATGTCTTCATTCACTTGAATAATTGGATTAGTTTGTGCATTGGCCATCTGTTGTTGTTGTGTTTCTCTCGCTTCTCTTTCTCTATGGTGAAAAGTTCTTTCGATTTCTGGATCAGTTGGTATCAGTTCTCCGTTCCTCAAATTTATCACAAAATGCTTGAACGAGAAAATAGAAGCACTAAAATAAATTGATAAAAAAATAGAATAAAAGAAAAAAGTTTGAATTAGTGCCAAGATAAATAAAACAAAATTAAAACACAATCTCCATTAACAACACCAAAAATTTGTTTACGAAATTATTTTTCGAATTAGAACCACCACAAATGTACAATTTGTTAACAAGTAATAAAGTGAATATTGAGTCCAAGTATCATTTCACAGAAATTGTACTAGTTTAAATTCAAATTGTCTTCGCCTTAACTGAAACTAGAGAAATTGATGATTTTTTTTTAAAATTAAATGGTCCCTAACTTTGATAATTAAAATGGAAGATCTAACTTAAATAAAATCGACTCAAGATTGAGATTAATGCTAGTTTGATTAAAATATGAAGATGAAAACATACTAGGATCCCAAATTACCTTTTATCAATCTCCTTTAACTCGAAATTTATAAATTTGACAACATGATTTAACTATGAAGATAAATATTTCTAATTTGTTTAACAATTTCTCTCTAGAAAAGAATTAAATCTATTTTTACATGTGACCTAATTATAATTCTATGATGAACGCGAACATATAAAAATGCATTAACGAATTTGTGAATACTTAAATATCATGTAAAGTATAGCAGTATATTTTTATCCACTGTCAAACTCTACGATAATTGACACAGAGTCTAAAATATTCATATAATTAGCAATCAAGCAATTATAGAGAAAAATAAATCTATGTCAATCATTCAATAATTGAAACGTGTTTTAACATAAAAAATAAATAAAATTCTAAAGTTAAAAGTTCATAATATAAGGTTCATCAAAAATCCTAACACTTAATAATTTTGTCTAGCATAATGTTGGAATTAAACAAAGTAAGGATCAAAGACATCACCAAAAATCGATTGAACGTGATTAATTCCTCAATTTTGTATTTGCTTTTTTGCCAGCTTCTCGAGTGTATATATATGTAATTTTGCAGCCAAATTTCGTCGCCTACCTCTCGGGTGTTTTTGTTATTCCTCTTCTTTTGTTTTCCATGTTCTATATATATATATATATAGTAGCCACTTTTCTTTTCCAAAAGATATTGTCAACTCTCTTTCCAAAATTTTGCAGCCGCCACCACGTGTGTTTGTATCTCCCCTTCTTTTATTTTCGGCCCGTTTGTGTTTGTGTTATATATATATATATATATATATATATATACACACACACTAGTTTTTTGCCCATGCAATGCATGGATTCTGTTGTTTTGAAGGTAATGTTAGCGTGTTCGATGTTAACAATTATTGAGAAATATGTATATTTGTATTCACTAGAATTGATGGGTAGATTAACATACATCCGTCTTAAAAGTTTTTCCTAAAAGCCACTTAAGTACTAAAACCTTCTCATTTGAAAGATCTCCATCTAATTTCATAACAAGAACATTCCTACTTTGCTTCTCTTCCCAAGTCAAAAGAGTTTAAAGTTCTTATTAATATCCATAATCAGAGAAAAAAAGGGCTCCTTTCACATGGGAGCTGTGATTGAGAACCAGGTTGAGGAATGAGGCAATGAAAGGCTAACAGCGCATTGTCTACTTTTCACTTTTATTCATTGAGATCTTAGAATATGTTTTTTAGAGTCTTGAATGCATGTACGTCTTCAGCAAAATGGAAATGGATTCATGCAAATGAAAGAAAATGACTCAAAGTTTATTATAGGCTGTACATTAGAAATATTAATCCAATAGTATAATTCATCAAGTAAATAAGCTCTAAATAAAGTAACATGGAAGTAGCACCTAGAACACAACAATATAAGTTCACGATTATGAAAAATGGTAAGACAAATGCAACCAATGTGAACACACGAATGTTTAAGAGCAAGTACATAAGCCCAACAACCATTACACTCATAACATATGTTTGATTTTCAAAGGTTGAGAGAAAAGAGTATAAAGTATCATGACCTATTTAAAAATAGGGAAAGATATCCTGTAAGGAAAAGTTTTACTACAGATTTTCTTCAAATGATCCTTATTGAGAGAGCACAATGATTCTATACCAATCATCTGTCATAAAATTGTAGAGGAAAATGAATTACAGTTACTTTCACAATTGCTCTATATATCTAAACCAAAAACATCAAGTTAACATAACAATGTACACAACAAAAATACTCAATGAACGCAATTATTGCATTGGGTTCTAAAAAAATGACAAAAAAAAGACATATAATAAACTTTCATTTTCTTTTCAATAAAACAAGTTTTAATTAATAGTTTTTAGCAAAAAATAAAAATAAAAATTCAATTAATATAACTAACTATTCACTTACAAGTCAAAATACTTAGCAAATAAGCAAAACACACACACACACACACACACACACACACACACACACACATATATATATATATATATATATATATATATGTATATCACTATTAAACCTTCAAAATACCCAAAACTGAAAAAGTCATAAATATAAAGAAATTTAATACAAGAAAATAAGGAAATGGAAAAACCTTAGCAATTCACTTGGTGTCCCTATACTGCATCATGTGCTACCAACTGGCCATCAACGTGCGTGAAAACAATCTCGATCAACATTCCTAATATCAATGCATGTTTTATTTCCCCATTCCCCCCTTTTGTGAAATAGAGCATAATGAATATAAGCTAAATGTAGATTCAAGAGTCACGTAAGAGAATCTTGAGATGTTATTTTATTTGCTATCATCAATACCATACATTTTACCTTCAAGTATCTAACAAACAGAAGCCACTTACAATTATAGTAGAATATATAATAACTATAGCTCTAAAATGCATTTTTCATACATTCTATTTATTTTGTAATAAGAAATTTCATCTTGCACAATAAAAATTGAATTCTGTGGAGCTTTTTTACCTTTGCATTGCAAGCGCCTTCAAAAGCCAGCTTTGCTAGAGAAAGATCCGACCACCATGGTCAACCAAAATTTGAGTGTACAAATTGAGAAAAAAAATTACGATAATATCCATCATAATTATTCTCATCACAGAAATTCAGTTTCATGTAGCCGTGCATTGTAGGAACCAATGTTATCTAGTCTTCACTACCAAAAGATGTGTCACTTAATTTCAGCTGCTTTCCAAAAGGTTTTCAACATATACTGATCATAGCACTGGAAAGGATGAAAAAATATTGACAGATCGTATTCGATAGAATTAATAACTTGAGGAGCTTTTGAAGATATTCTCAAAATCTTTGGAAAAACTTAATAAGGAGCTTGTCCTAGAAACTAAACTAATTTATTGTATATCTATTGTGCATGTGTTCTATATATATTGGGATAAACTGATTTTAAGAGTGCATGGTGTCCAAAAGACTGTTATAGTCTAGGAGGTAGCAAGGAAACAATATTATGGTAAACTTGACACCGTCAAAATTAGCAACGAATATAATTAAATATACCATTACTAGATATTTGCCGAAACAAGATACCTAAAATCATGTTTTAGAGGATTGGATGGGTATCTTAGCTCTCAACACAGGCCAAGTCCAATAGCAACCATAGAAATAATGCCATTGTCAAAGAATTTATCAAATTCAACTCAAAAAGCTTTCGTGTAGTCAAAGTAAACTTGTATAAGTTTTACATTAATAAAAATAAAATAAATCCAAATCTACAGATTTAAACAAAACCGACTCATCAAGATGTAAATAATTGTGTGATAATGAAAAAATAAAAATTCCTCCAAATATTAAATGGAAAATAGACTTAAATAACTATGCCATTCAATAGGGGAAGAGGATTGTAGCTCTTTCTTTCGAAGGGTGAGGAAAGGGAAAAATTGATCTTTATCACTCACAATAGTGCAAGTGAAAGCTTAGGTTCCAAATTAAGTTCATAGTCATTACTAAAAATAGAATAAGAAAATCAGAGAGCAGATAAGAAAAAAAATCAGATGTCCTCAAATCATAAGAGAATTCGTCATGAACCTGTAGAAATATTTTTAGCACACTTGGCATAGAACTTATTTGTTCTCAACAACTTTACTTTTTTCCAAATTTCAAAAGCACAAGACAGGAAGAAGAAAACCAGGTTATAGAGTTAAAAATTATAGTAACTTGAAATTGTTTTTGAGAATTAAAAAACTAACAGTGATATGACATTAACTTTCTTGATGTCAAATTAGATACCTCTATGGCAGTGCAGCTTCTGAAAACCTTTTCTTTGTAAACTTCCCATGAAAGCCATTCAGAAGACAAAAAAAAAAAAGAAAAAAAGAAAAGAAAAAAAAAAGGGGATTGTAGCAACCAATTTCAGCCACTTACAGAGGCAGGGAAATACAAACATCATCCCCAACATTACTACCACATTCATGGAAGGACATTACAACCTGATTCCAATTAAAACTTTATGAGTTTTAATAAAATTCTAAGAGTCAGGCATATAAGAAACATCTGTTACTTCTTACATATTAAAATCATTAATCTATTTATGTTTTACGAAAAGATTGTCAACTTTTGAAATATGTCAGCCATCGTAATCCTAATGAATATGATAAGATTCAGTAAGTACTTGTATTTACACTTTTAAAACATGGAAAAGATAATGTGTTATAGAACAAAAGCAACAGAATTGAAGACATGGCATCGACAAAGTAATACCGTATAAAACTTTTATTGCCCTTTTTTCTTTTCCACTCCAATTGTCCTTCTGTGGAGCATGCACATATACTATACCCTATTAGCAATCTTCCATAATACTATTAATGTTAATTGATTTCAAGACTTTTAGTCGTTTTGCTAAAACGTCAGGATCAACAAGCTCACACTACATATTGACAACACCTACCTGCGACCAAATAGATTGGGAGTGCCTTAGCTATATTTAGAATTAAGAGACAAAAATTTCCCACCATTAATTTGTGACATACATTAAATTCATTTCTTCTCAATCTTTTTCTTATTATTTTTTTAGTTTTTTGTACAAAGCACAAATGACTTCTAGAAATTTTATTTGATTCAAAGAAAAAATTTGTACTCAGTTTTTTTATACAGCCACGATTCTTCAAGCTACTATACTTAAATCAAGTGTGCTACTATATAATTTATTTTACAATTTTATTTTGACACTCACCAAAGGAGGTGAGAACAACAGTTTTATATTTAACCGAACTCACAAGCATAAGAAAGCAACCAAAAATACATCTTTAAGAACATAAGCATAATTGCTACACTATCTAGGTAAGTGGGCAAAAAACATGCTTTATTCAAACTTGAAAAAATATACAAAAATGCAAAGGACAAGCTATGCAAACCATGACCTATTACTGATTAAGGTAATTAAGAAGATAACATACCAGGTCACTGTTAAACTTTTTGTGATCAAGAACCATGATTGCAACTATTTCATTAAAAGGAATGAGAGAGCTCTATACACATCCACACTATGACCGTTGGTGAAGTCTTGTGTAGACATGCATGCATGTTACGTATCTATGAATGAAAGAATTTCGTTGTAGACAACATTTCTTGTACTTGTTTTGTGTACATTTTCTGTGTTTAATGGTTTAAGTAGAACTTTTATAAACTTACTTATTTTTGCTCTTGATAATGCTATATAAAGTTGACATGATAGAAAATTGGCTCAGGAAGATACAAATCGACAAAATCAAGTGTTTGACCCTGTGCTTTGTTTATCGTCATTGCAAAGCACGGCCTAATTGGAAATTCAGTCTTCAAAATTGAATTGAGTTTCAATCACTTTTAAGAGGTATAAAAGGAATCCTAGGCAAGAAAACATATTTTCCACAATACTCGCTTGTTGTGAATTTAGCAAGAATTACGTTCTTCTTAAATTTTCGACAAGTAAGACGTGTCATATTGCATAACCCTTCGGAGGGATTGATATTTCGTAATAACATCATAGGACAGTTTACCTTGAGGTTTAACTCATGTGGCGGAATACCATTTGAGGTCAAACTATTTAAAAAAACTTCTTGAAAGCTCTGTTCTGATTTATCAATAGCTTCATCGAAATTATAGTATGTGAAAATCTCAACAGGAATCTGTATGAGTAAAATTCTGTTAATATGATCAACACATTCATTTGTAGGCGTAAGAATAACTCGATCTACCATCGCATGAAGATTATCGGCATATGCTTCTATATCTAGAAAAACATGATGTATCAAATTTTTTAAAGATGTAATTTCATCCTCAAATGATAGAACTGTATCGTTTGGAAGTTTAATGCATCTGCAATTATGTTCTGGCTTTGTTTCATCTCCAATTCTTAGCAAGTAATCATAAAATGTGGGATCCAGATTCACCCTCATATTCTCGACCAATGGTAGATGCAAATACAAAAGCCATAAGTTTGAGAAAACTAAGCTAGCTTTCATTATGTCTTCCTTTTTTCCTTTTGGTACTACCGGTAGAATTTGTCGAAAATCTCCTCTGAGAACTACTACTTTCCCACCAAAAAGAAAATTACAATCAGTAATATCTCTGAACATTCTATCTACAGTTTCAACAGCACAACGATTTACCATTGGTGCTTCATCCCAAATGATCAATCTAGACATTTTCAACAAACTTCCTAAAGCTGATTACTTGCTAACAGAACAACTTATGTCACCAATCGTTTCCAAAAGGATTTTAAATCTTGAATGAGTTGTTCGACCTCCGGGTAAAAGAGATGCAACTACTCCATATGATGCAGTTGCCAAAACAATTAGATTTTGTGACCTTACACCAATTAGGAGTGCTTTATATAAAAAAGTTTTTCCTATCCCACCTGGACCATCAATGAAGAAAGCGCTGCTTGACTCTGATTTGACTTTTTCCATAATTCTATCGTACGCAAATTGTTGTTCGTTATTTAATGTTGCAGTAAAAGCAAGGTCCCCCGTAATGTCCAAATTAGTTATCTCCTCTTCAACCATTCTTCTCAATCTTCAGTCTCATCTATATTTACATTGAATGACACCATCAAATAGTCATTTATATTTTTACCCAACTATTCCAAAATAGAACTAATGTCTTATAAAGCCCTTAGCTCAGCAATCTCCATAGGTATGTTTTGATGTACATAATCGTCAACCATATAAACTTTAAACTTATCCCACAATGACTTTGGATGGTTATGATTGAAATGCATAAGAACTGTAGCAAAGAGACGTCTTAAAGAAGCAAGCATTTCGTAAGCAATAGCTTCACACATACATTCTTCACAATGATCATCTCCACTTAATAAACCATGTAAAAGTGCTGTTTCACGATATGTAGCAACAATTATCCCGTTTGAAGTTCGTAAATCATCAAATGATACTGGCCCTCTAATATGATTAACAAGAATGCGGAAGAAATATCGTTCTCCTTCAGATGGATTAACTGTGACAATTCGTCCTATAACAATTTATTTTTTCCTAGGAGTCCATTTTTTGGTATTTGCATTGCAAATAAAATGACTTGGAAAATCTCGATACAAAAGTATACGAGCAAACTCGTTTATTTCATTCATTCGAAAAAATTTAGTCAACATAGTTCTTTTCGTACTTTTTTTCAATAACAGTAGATAAATCATCGTGGTCAGCGTATGTTATTTGTTGATGATCTTCAATATGAAGTTGTAAAGAATAAACAGACGGATAAATATTTGACAGATTAAAAGAAAAAATTCTCCATACAGCTTTAGGTGGAGATATCCATCTAGCAGATTAATAAGCAAAAATTTCATCAATTTCCTTGTTCATTTCTTTTATGTTAACAGAAAAATAAATACGATCATGTCCTTTGTACACATATTTATACAAATATTTTACAGCTTAAATAGAAGAGCATACTTCAACATTAATGTGGCAGTCAAATTTTGCACTTAAATAAGGATTGTATGGTACGACCCATCGATTGTCTAACATTTGGCTTCTAATTTTAACAGAAATACCATCATTACGTCGCCTATACAATGGGTATGAGTTATCACCAAATACAGTAAAATTACTATAATCCTTTGGATATTTATTTTTACAACCTTTATTTATCTCAACACATACATTTTTAGGATTCAGGTTTACCACAAGGGCCATGCATATTGTGTTTAACAATAACAGAATGAAGATGAGGGTGTTTTTCTTTGTCAGGAATTTCGCAGAACACTATCTTATCAACATCTTTAGCACAACAAATTTTGTGCCCACTATTAAAAATCAATAATAGATGTGCATGAGGAAGTCCTCTTTTGTGAAATTCAATCATATATATATGAGCAACAACAGGGCCTAATACATTTTCCTTATATAATCATTTTTCAACTCTTCTAGTTTTGCTCTAAAGATACGTGTGATTAGATCTGGTCGATTTTGAACTTCATCATTGTGTCTTAGCTCTTGCAAAATCTCAGGCCAATTTGGATTACATGTTATGGTAAAAAATACATCCGATTTTTCATAATACTGTAAATAGCCATCGTATCCATGTATCTCCTTAGCAGATCTCTAGGGCTACACATAAATAATTGTGGTAAAACAAACTTTCTTCCGATTTTGTATCCTTTTGTTTCTCCATTTTGAACACTATCTATAATGCCATGATAAAGTTCAGCACGAATTTTTTCTGATTATTACGAAAGTAATCTAATCCAGCAATTTCAATCTTAACATATATATTTACAACATATAGTTGAAATAGTCTACCACTGTGAAGTAACACAAACTTACCTGGAAGCCTGATTTGTAATTTGTTTGAGTAGTATTCTCGGCAAGAAACTTGAGACCATTTCTTTCTTCCATTAAGCACTACATGATGTAACGAAGATCAACTTTCAGAATTCATTTCCAAAATTTACAACGCAGAAGTCATAACATCTAGTAAAAGGTATATTCGCTAACCTACATCCTCTTTTTCAAAAATTTCAATTGCAGAAGTAATTATTGAAGGAAAAACAACAGAGTCGGCAAATAGTGGGGCTGAAAGTATGTGCTTCTATATCTCTCAATACCTTCATACCAACTAGATTCTCCATATGGAAAAATTAGACGATACTATAAAGGATTATAACAACCATAATAATAATGAACCTTATGTGAGTCACCGGAATGACCATATATTGTAATATCACGGATGCGAATATTTGCATTTTCATCATCTTCGACCCATACAATGGCTAGTTGAGACGCTGTAGGAGTATTGAAGACTCTTTGATCAACTCCTGGATCTCATCTTATCTGTATTCGATGATCGTACAAGTTAGTCATATCACTTAAAGACATAAAGAATCTACTATATGGATTTACTTTAGGGATTTCAATTAAAACAATCAAAGTAGATTCAATAAAGTTCTCTAAAATTTTCATACGATTTTGAATCTCATTATCTGTATCATAAAAATATAACTGCATATAAGAAGGTGCATTGTTCTTTGGCACAAGTTGATTTACATAGTGATACACTTTTCCCTGAACCCTAAATGTGTAAATACCTCTATATGCTTCCAAAAGTTCTTTGTCATACTTTACTCCAAACGAAGTGAACGCAAAATGGTTATTATATCCTCTTACAATTTTTTTGAATTCCATACATGTAGGTTCTGTAGAAGTAAATAGATCGTATAGTTCAGTTGGTGATTCAGGCGTAAAAAGTTTAAATTTTCCATCAGAACAACAAAAACTTTAACTTTCTCTATAAAATTTTTGTGCACCACAATATTTACAGTTGATACATTTTGGTAATACATATGCAGTATTTGGTATATTTAATGATTAGAACTTCCTTCTAATTCAGAATTGAAAATATATGTCGTTTGTTAGTTTGAAATAGAAGCTTCAGAAGGATGATGTATTGTAGATTCATGAATTTGGGCAATACCCGAAATATTATGCTCAGATAACATAGCATCAGTTATCCTCCACTGACGATCAATGCGGCCAATTTTAACTCAATTTTGCCAATCCCTTTCTCTTCGATTTCGTTGTTGGCGAATGAAAGCATCATATGACTCTTTTGTACTTTCGAAAATAGTTTGAGAGTTAACTAAATCAGGCTCTCCACTAACACATGTTTCAAAAATATCCATCAAAGCAATAGGATAAATTGTGGAACAATAGGAGCCCAAGTTTAGCAACACGAACTAAAAATACTGAAAGAAAAAAAAAATATTACCACATATGTTAGAAAGCAATTGCAGTCATTCTTAAGGATAAATGTTCTTAATGACTAAGAGTAAATCTTCAATGAAATAAAAGAAAGCAGAAAACAAATCATTATAATCTATTAACACAGATGACTAATTTTTTTAACAAATCACTAAATCATAAAAAGAAAAAGAAAAATGACAAATGTTATAATTTACATTTTAATTAACCTCTTACTTCCGTGTGAATTTTCTTTTTCTTTTTTTTTTATAAAACTTTTAGAAAAGTTGAACAAAGACAAAAGGAAAACAATTAATCACTCTCTTAAAACTTCAAACAATTTTTTTTTTTTTAGAAAAACACAAAGATTCAACAGTATAATCACAATACTATAACTTCTCTACCAACAACCTCTTCGATTTTATTCAAATTTATTTCACCATATTAGGTAAAAAATAATAATAATAAAAATAAAGAAATCCTTCAGAGGCATGTTCTAACATGTCAACATAAAAATATCAATATTTCCTAGTTGAGATGCACATCTCTATATGGAAATGTAGAGAATAATCATAATAAAATAGACTTTGTAGTTACATATACCACCAAGCAGAGACAGTGAGCTAAATAGAATATTTAAATTTTAGAAAAAAAAAAGTTGTTAAAAGATAAAGGGCACATTAGGGATTCCTTCTCGTATTATATTCAATTCATAGAAGGAGAACTCATAAGTTGGTGCACGTCGAAGAATTAGTTATTATAGAAACTTGAAAACAAAATGCATGAGAATGTTTCATATCAGTAAATCTTAGTGAATCCCTACAGTGCAAAATTAGTTATTACAAAACCTTGAGACCAAATGCAAGAGAATTTTTGAAAAAGAATAAATTATTAACTAGTACAACCAAAAGTCAAACTAAATCCCCTAATAGGATCAACTTTAAAAAATGGTACATTTCTCTCTATGGAATAATTCAGAACATAGTGCAAACATCTATGTAAAGGATTAATTTATAAGCACAAAGTAAATAACAATAACAGGATTTCTATGGCAATCATTGTCACGAACTGTCCTAATGAAATGAACAACATTAGATAGAAATATTTAGACAATATAAATCAAAGCATGAGAGTACATATGGACCATATTATTCTTCGCGAGGTAAATATTCAAATAATATACCAATTGAAAAAGTGAATTGTATACTTCAGTTGGCAAAGTAAAGTCAACAAAGAACAGATGGTCAATAAAGAGACAGAAAGGAGTATTAACATTATCAAAAGCACTTTTGATTGTATATCCAAGTCAATGAATTGCCTTCCTAGATAAATACTAACTTAAACATATGACCAAGTTTTAACCAAGAAAATAATGTGGACATGGTCAAACAAAAAGATTTGGAAGCAGATAATCTAAGCACATCATATACTGGAGCCAAGCAGCAAAGGAAGAC